CCCACTTCCTCTTGGGTGACACAGGTTTGCCAGAGTCCCATGGTCCAGTTCTCCATTTCATTTAGCTCCAGGTTGAGGTTCTTCCAGTGTGGCAGGTAGTTTGTAAGACAGGATAAAACCCATCCCAGCGGAGATAACAAAATGCCAGCTAATTGTGCCACAGTTCTAAATACTAAGGCCATCCTACAGCACGGTGACTTTGGCCCTGCCGTTGCTGTGTGGCACTTGTGTTATCACCTGCAAAGCTCAGAAATATTTTTTCATTGTGTACCTAGGAGGATTCTTGCCAGAGATGCCTTTGTTTGATTCCATGTTGAATGGGTTTCAGGAAAGGACAGGGAAATAAATGCTGCAAACCAGCAAGTAAGGCCAAGGTGTGGCCAAGATCGTGTTTGTGTCCTGTGGGCTGAATTTTGTGGAAAGCAGTTTGTCGGGAAGTAAACATAAGTGGTAACAATCTTCCTTTCATGGTTAAAGTACAAATGGCTTTCATGCCGTTCCCCACCTTTCTGACAAATCAAAGACATCTAAAAAGCAAAATATTTAATTGACGGTTTGGGTTCAGCTCGTCCAGCTTTTACAGCCTTGCTAATTTCACCTGGCAGATTTTCATCTGTGAGAGTCTCACATTTCAGTTCATATGCTGTGGTCGTACTGGGTGTTATCGTTCTCTAAAATAGGTTCCAGAAAAGTATTTCTTAACCAAATAAATTGATCTTATCAGAAATCTCTGTAGACCTTAAATCAGGCCTGTTGCTTAAAAAAAAGAAATCTCCACAGTGAGGCCACACGTACCACATTGCCCGTGAGACAATGCTGAACTAACTTCCTGCCTTTCTGTCATACTCGTGGTCATAAAGCACTTGGTTTATTTTTTCTCTGCTGAAATATGCTTTCTATGCAGTAGGAAGGTTAAAGCAGGACTTTGTAGGGTAGAATCAACACCACTTTTTGTTCACCACTAAAGTGTATATCCATGTTTGTAATTTTTAATTGAATAAAGGAAAGTTTATTGTTCAGATAAATGAACTGACAGCATCTGGAGATCAAGAAAAATACCTTTGAAATTGTTTTTCCTTTCTTTCTTTAATATGAAGCCTTTGAGGAAGAGATGAGACAAGAGATTGGCCAGTATTTTAAATCTCAGAGTATCACAATGTACTGAAAACCTTCACCTCATAAAAATCCTGTCACACAGGGTGCCTCGTAATTTCCTTAACACAAACCACTTCTGTTTGAAGAAGACCAAAGTCACTGTTGTGGAACTAACACTTTGGGGTTGGCTTAGCATGTGGTTTTACAGAACACTTAGACGATTTCAAATTGTTAGGTTATTTTTCTCTTTAGGACACAGAAACTAATTATTTCCTACTATCAATAAAAAACAAAACAGACCAAAAAAAGCTTCCTAATACGAAATTAACACCTTAAAGCTTAAGACTTATTAGGCAGCCACCACCACATACTGATTTAAATAACCATTGATGAAATTTTTTCACTCATACCTATGGAATGCTTACCATAATAGTTTTAGGTATAAGATTTTCTCTCCTTCTTTTCCAAACTGTAAGGGTAGGTGGGTCTAGTATAGAAAAATAAGTTACTGAGTGAGAAAAATAAGTTACTGAGAAATTGTGAGCTGCACAGATTTAGTTGTGTAACAGAGACCTCTTAGTCATAACAAAGAGGATGCAGGATTTATCTCTCTGGCCCTGTCAAAGTCTCACAGTTTAGGCTCTGCAGTTCCATTTTCCAGGTATGGACACTGAATTTGCATCTCGGCCACCACATAGTGGCCTGAAGCTAGAGGAGCTTGGCCAGAGCAGGCTGCACAGCTGAGCAGACATCCTCCTAGCAGAAGGCAAAATCCGGCAAA